AATTTTAAATAAATAGTATAGACATAAAGAACTACTTTATTGATGAGAAAGTAGCACTGCAAGTCTCTCTGCACTCTTGCATTTTCTGCACTCTTTGTCCTCATCTAAGAAAAAGCCAGGTCCACATTTCTTGCAGTATTCACCTACTACTTTGACACTACCATCTTTTCCTATAACAAAGTTTTTCAAAAATGCAAGCTTAGCTCTTTCCTTTGGGACTAGACTTTCTTGGGTGTTGTGTACTCCTTCTTTTTCTTTTTCTTTCCTCCTCTCAGTCTCAAAACAAGATGGAGAGTAGACTCCTTCTGGATGTTGTAGTCAGAAAGTGTACGACCGTCTTCCAATTGTTTTCCTGCAAATATGAGACGTTGCTGATCCGGTGGAATGCCCTCTTTATCCTGTATCTTAGCCTTTATGCTGTCAATGGTGTCCGATGGCTCAACCTCGAGTGTTATTACTTTTCCTGTAAGTGTCTTTACAAAGATTTGCATGTCTAGCTTGGGTAGGGTGAAAATTTGAAATTTAAAAATTTTCAAAACAAAATAAATAGGACAAAACAAGTAAATACAATTAAGTGGGAAACACAATTAAAATTGTAATTAAAACTAAAATTGAAGTAATAGACAATGTCTGCATAAACAAGAGTTGATAAATACAGAATATTGTCTTGGGAGCAAATCTATTTAAGCTATGCATTTATTGCTTGCTAAGACTAATATTGAGAATAAAAATTAAGCTATTGCTGTAATGATCTTAAGTATCAGAAATTCTGTTGAAAGGTTTGACAGTCTAGTTTGGAATTACAAAATGAACTGCATTGCCAAGACATTTCAATGTGGATAAAGAATTACATGCTACTTTACCAATATAGTTAGTGATCCGCCTAACAAATTCTTTAAAATGAAGTAGTGACTAAACTGTAAGCCTATTTTAACCTTAAACTAAGATATGTCAAAATTTTACTCTTTTATTACCTCATTTTCACCCAATACACCTCCACAGTTCTTCTCATTGCAAGAAATTACATCAAGAATACTTCTTGGGAATCCATCATTTCTCTCACTACAAGAAACAACAGTATCAGGAATGTCCACATCACCCGTTTCACTGAAGGATGTTACTGCACTATTTCTCTCATTAAAAGTTGTTGTTTGATAGTCATCATCTGATACAATCTCAATATTATTGTGGTCTCCATTCCAGTTACCCATTCTAAAATGGCTATTCCCTGGTTTTTGGGTAGTGTCCCTTCTGTTAGATGGATAGTGACTGTAATTGTTTTCCAGATCATTTCTCTTAGTATCCTTAGCATTACATATAGGTCTTTGACTATTTCCTAATTGAACTCTGAAATATTCACAGCATGTTCCTTGGATATCCCAACTCATAAGGGTATATGCTACAACGTGATAAATTCCATCATTTTGACTACTTGCATACGTTTTCTTCATTAATTGTCCATGTAGCTCTTTATATACAAGAAAGCATCCTTGAACTCGACTCGGTGACCATTCCTTCTTATCCGTCCATCTCTTAACATTAGACTCCTCTTCTGTATATACAAACACTGATCCTGGTCTGATCAGTGTTTTTTCCCTCTGGTTTAATCGCTTTTTTACAGTCAAGATTTCGCCCTTTTTAGCTTTTTCAATGAGTGACTTACACTCCGTTTCAGAATGTATACAACCGTAGTATGATTCAAAAGTACCATAAAACTGTCTCTGTACTGCAAATTTACAGCTATCAAGCTGCTGGTAGTTAAAAGCCTCGTTTGACTGTCTGTAGTATGGATCACCCAATCTTCTGCCATTGTCAGTATCCGAAAAATTAAAATACTCGTTATATAATTCTAAGCCATTATAAGGTGATTTAAGAAGGGAATTACGATCGCCTTGTAAAGCTTTAGTTAAAGGTGAAAATCCATCAATCAAACTGCTAGTATCAGATCGCTTATCAGGTTTATTCATAAGAGTATCCACATGGATCTTTTTCATATGATTATTGGTATTCTCATTTACTCCATCAGTCAGATATGTCTGTTGGTCAATCTTATAGTAGTATTTGCGATCATCCTCGACGTTCTTGCATTTACTATCGTCAGATGGTCTGCTTTCTTCTTGTAATCTCTTGTAACTGTTGTTCATGGGTATTTGTTTCTACTAATATTTAAACTATTTAAGCTTAGTTAATATCCTTGAAATAATTAAATTTTTACAAATTATGCTTAACGTGATAAAAAATAAGCTTAATTTGTAAAAATTCACAATATAAATATAGTATTTTAACAACTTTATTAGAAATGTATGGAACAATTACGTTGTTTTCTTTTGATATTGCTGTTGATAGAAAAATTTTGCAATTCCAGACTGATAAATTGTGATTTCAATCATTTTCAGTTATATTGAAAATCCTAGTGTTTTCTTATCAAAACACTTGTACTATCTACTGTTGAGTCTAATCCTTTTGTGATTGTTCTTCTATTAAGACCGGGATTATTCATGATGTCAAATTGGAGAATAATCATTTACGATATTGAAAGAGTCATGAAAATCAGTTGTAAAAAATAATAAAGCCTGTTATGTTTGTAAACTTCCTTTGTTTCTGCAGTATTTTCTGATTTTGAATTTACCTTGCTTACTTCTTAAATTTCCTTAATTAAGATTTTAATTAATTTGTGGTAAATTAAATTTAAAATAGCAATAAATGTGGCTATTAAATCAACTATTTTATTTAAATTAATATTATTAGTAAAATTTTAACTTAATATTATGAGATTGGTGAAGTTTTTGTCTTGGCAATGTTTTGTGATAAGCTTAAATTCAATCAAGACAAACTTTTTTAATATTCAAAGAAAGCACCCAAAGTATAAACCAGCATGTGAGGTTATTGTGTGTTTTTACAAATAAATGTGTCTTTTTTAATCTCCTTGGAATTTTGTTAAATAAATCAATCAAAAATCATAAAGGATTTACGCTAATAAAATTGCATATAATTTATAGCAATAGAATAAAAAAAGTACAACATTAAACTTTATTCTATACGGTCTAATGTTGTAAACTAATATCAGCTATCCTATTTACTGTCATATCAAAAATAATGCTTAAATTGACACTTGAATTATTTTAAAGGATGCAAAATAGTTTTCAAGATTTTAATTACTTTTTACAAACCAATTTAACTTGTAATTTTTTTAAATTACTTTTTTGTATTAAAGCTTTTTATAGTAGTTTCTAACTAATGTAATGGTTTTATAATACAATGCTTGTATTCAAATAGGGTTTGTTGACTTTCATTCATGTTTGATTTAAGCTTGAGTTGTAGCTTTTTTATGTCAATCACTGCAATTGTTCAAAATTTTACTTTTTTTTTCTCCATGTGTTCAAGGCAACTTTCTCAAAAAGAGCTCAAGCTGAAAGATGAATTTGGAAAATGTGGTTTAGAAGAAATGTGTATTACCACAGCAACACTGTCGACTTCAAATACTTTGTTTCTTGTTAATAAGCCAGCATTATACAAGATTAAGAATACCAACAGCTATCTTCTATTTGGAGATCCAGTTGACTATACAACTGTATTGAAACAGCTGCAAGAATCCTCTAAAGATCCCGAAACATTGAAAAGGATGATGGAAGGAGAGTCTAAGGTAGAGGAAGCAGAGATTAATGGTGAAGCTAATGCTAAGAACGATGTAGAGGAAATATCTAAGAAGGTTGAGGATGTCAAAATTGACTCATTTGAGTTTAAAGAAGATGATATTACATTGATAATGAGTGAAAGCAACATTTCAAGAGAAGAGGCCATAAAAGCGCTTTCAAATGCTAACAATGATGTAATACAAGCCTTGGTTAATCTAAATAAGCAATAAATATTAAATTTTATTAATGTTAGTGTGTCTTTGATTTGATACTAGTATTTTTAAATATTAAGCTATTTACCGTTAAAACAAAGGCTTTTAATAGAGTGATTTTAACTTTTATATGAAATGATATAGGTTATGAATGTATTGTTTTCCAGTATTTTGTAATATTCTTTTCTCATTGAATCAACTCCTTGAAGAATTTCTGATATTTTTTGCCTCTCCTCTGCCTGATTTGTGTATTGCATTTTAATTTTGAGTGCATGTATACATTCTGGACTTAATCTCAATACTTCATCAACAATCCAAGGCAATTCTTCCTTTTCAACCTTTAAACATTCACTATTTAATAGTATTTCCTCTGGTTCTTCAATCAAGTCTGTAACAACTCTCCTTACAGGATACATAATTTCTACTCTTTTCTGATTAATACTCATTCTTCCTTTAAATGTATTTTCTAGGATAACTTCTATCTTATTTTTGTACTTTCGGATTATTCCAAGATACCCCCTCATTGTCTGAGCTCTTCTTTTCTCATATGATCTCCAAACACTCTCGTCATCAGGGTCTATAAACAACCAATTCTCCATAAATGGTTTGAAATGCATAGATGTTGGATTGTGGAGATCTGCATTGATTTCAAACTCATTTTTCAAGCAGTAATTCCAGCAATGAAAATTCCTAGGATCAAATTTGAGTAATAAGGCACAGAGTTTGTGTTCATTAAACCAGTTAGACTTCAGCTTTTTAAAGAATAAATATCTATGAAACCATGCCGCATAGCTCTTTGGATTTATTTGAATTGCCTCTTGGGTCAAATCTAACTGTCTTTTTATTTCTTCTTTGTCATTTGAACCCAAAAAGACTGCTTTCAAATAATTCCAACTGCTGTAATCGTCCGGGTTTAAAAGAACCATTTTCTCATGCTTTTCAATACCATTTGGCATGCATCTAACAGCAACTATTTCTTCTACTTCCTTAGAAACGCTATTTAAATTTTCACCACTACTTTCCTTTCTAGCTACACCGTGGTGTATCATTTCGTGGGGATGGAAAGAAAGAGCATTCCGTATTTGAAAATATGCTCAATTTTCATGCTAAAATTTTGCATAAATGCTTGATTGTGTCTTAACTGATAGCATACGGTAATATTAAAGTCAAATAGCTGGATAAGAAGCAAAAAGGGCATTGTGGACAATAATATGAACAATTCTCGATAAGACTTTATTAAAATCAGCAAATAGAATGTGTCATGTTTAAGTGAACAATTCTATCTTGTTTTTATATGCTACATACAGCCATGGCATTTCTGTATCCCAGCTGATGGCTTTAAATACACCAGATATTGTATTAATTGGAATGCATTGGTTTTCAAGTATTTTATAAATGCAAATTTCATTAGAAAAGATTATTGCAATCAAACCATAAGCTGGATGGATTTTGATTTGTGAACCAATGTCGTTTTGAACTGTACTTCCAACAACTTTTAGACTTTCATTCACAATTACCAGTCTTCCAACATTATTGATTGCATAGATATGCTTATTATATATTTCAAAATCAATGACATATCCCAGATTCTTAATCTCACTTCTCTCAATAGACTCCACCATTATTCCTTTATGTGTAGATGCATATACCGCATCTTCGCTGATTGTCATTGTATGCGGAGTATCTCCCTTTAGTTTTAAAATTTTGATTTCTTCATACGAGGTGCTGTGGTGAAGATGGATGGACTTTGATGTGAGATATCCTATAAAAGAACTATCAATGTATATATCCTTTATTGCCATATGAGAATGAATTGTTTTGGTTGGTTGCACATGTTCTCCGAGCTTTGTCAGGTAAATACTGTTTTTAGATGAGACTATAAAAATATGCCCACACAGTGCTGCTTTGTAAATATTCTCTTCAAAGTTGTAGTTAAAGAGTACCTTATTGTATTTCAAATCTAGTAACACAACGTTTTTTTCATTAATTGCACAGATGGTTGAGTTGAAAAGTGTTTTTTTGCCTTCAAGTTCCCAGGAAAATGATGAAAATTCAGGGAATGGCCTCATAGTTTCAATATCAGGTAACTTTGGCAAAATATCCTTCAAGGCCTTTTGTTTAGGATCTCTTGGGGTAAAATGCTTGAGATAAACCCTTCTTAGTTCCTCTTCGAGATGCCCTTTATTGAACTCAAGTGATTCTACTGGGCCTTCATACGGTGTATCTATCGAATATATCCACTCCTGTGTATAAGTTTTCAATGTGTTTAGATTCTCGTCTTCCCAAATATCTACAATTTGATTCTTTGGTATTACTGTTACTTTTGGCTGTGGATTGTTTATATAATGCTCTCTTAGTTTTCTATTAAAGTATCCTGATGCATCTCTTTTTACTCTTTCTTTGACTGGTTGAACTTGCTCATTGGACAGTATTCTGTTTGGAATGGTCTTGAGAACTGGGTCTAAGCATTTGCTGGACTTGTATGCTCTCACTTTCTTAAGATCATCTTTTGTAATTGTATACGTTTGTTCTTTGTATTTCAATGTTTTTACATGCTTTTGCTGTCTAGTCTCTAAAAATTTATTTATTCTGTCCATGTGACTCCGAAGGATAAATTTTTAGAGAGCATTACTGGTATTGAAACGCCTGTATATTTTATTTGTGGTACAGTTACACAATCACTAATACTTGAAGAGCTTTTTAATAAAATCTTCTTTATACTTTGATCAAATGATAAGTTTTTTGGATTTAATTACTTTCAAATTACTTATTATTTATGAATAGATGTCTAAAGATGTTGATAAGGCTGAGATTTTTACATTGTTGTTATATCTTTCTTACAAAGGATATTTTACTATCACTGGGAAGCCTTCCAAATGGAAAACAAGTTTAGCACAAAAGAAAATGTGGAAAACATATCGTCTGGACGATGTTCAGAAATAAAAACACCAAAGAGGGAGACTCTTCTTCTTTCACCCTCTGCTTTGATTCAAATTGGTGCTAGTCCTGATTCTAAAAGATACAGCTCAATCAGGAAAATCGACTTTGAGCATGAAGAAAGGAAAACACATGCATCAGTACGAAAGCTAGACTTTCTAAAATGAATATAAATGAAATTCAAGTTATTTTAAGTGTTTTATAGAACAACTTTTCATCAAAGGTAGTTTCTTCTAAAACTATTCTCAACTCTATCTCGATTGCATGTTCATATTAGTTTCAAAGCTTATGAAGCTATTTTAATTAAGTTTATTAGCTATTATACATTCAATAATAATCCATAAAGTACAAGTGGAATATCAAATAAAAAGTAACACAAAAACAATCATGCTACTGTGTCAATATAGTAAGGCTTAGTTCATTATTTTCTATAGTATACCGTTAGATCCATAAAATTAAATATTAAGACAATTTAAAGGCTAAAAAAGCATTTTCCCACAAAACCAATATCTTTATAAGCAGAGAAATCTGTTGAAGTAGATGCAATATCGTAGTTCTGAAGGATAAGAAACTTTCTATCACCAGTACATATATCTAAGCATTTTGAATTCTTTTCAGAATGTATAAGTTAAATTTGTTCACTAAACTTCTTACCAAGAAGAAAACTAATATTTGGTGTCTAAGAACAGAAAAACTCGCTAGTTATTGCGTCACTTGAATAAATCTATCATCTTACATCAGCAACGCCTTAGCGATTGATGTTCAAAATGTATGATTATTCGGTTTTGAAAAGTTTGAAAGAAGGTTTAAGATACAATTAAGTGTGATGCCAAAGTGTCTGAATAATAATGCTTCCAATAGCAGGATATTATTAAAACACAAACATTATAAGCCCTTCATTTTCAATGCGTATTGATTAATACTAAAAATCGCTAATATTTAAACAGTTTTGTACACTTCATTTCACATGTGAATGCAAATGGTTTAATTAATATTGATAATATAAAGCATTAGACGGCGCAACAAAATATCTTCGTTCCAATGAATGTATTTTTATTTTCCAACTAAGCTCCGTGTATTAGATTAACAGTGAACTTTTAATTTTATGAGTCTAATTGGCATAAAAGAGTTTTAATGGCCAATATTTATCTAAAGTATGATAATTTACAAAAGAGTGTATGAGCTTTTATTTATAGTATAAGGAGCGATATATTCCAAGTAAACTATGAGCATTCTCCATCTCGAATTTAAAATGATATTAAAGGTGTATCGTTGCTGATAGTGAGGTTTTCTAGAAAAATAATGGCTCAAAATATAAGTTAAAAATTATAAAAATAAAACAAGTACGCACATGGCACTTTTAATTCTTACATTTCTTTAAATACATTTTTGAAAATGAACTGAATGAAAATATTAAAATTGCTGCCATATACATTAAAATAAAGGGTGTAGCTGACACTTGGTTATTTTTGTATCAATATAAATTAAAATTTGAGACTCTGTTGCTTTTAATAAACGCTTTTGATGCATCAAAGAAGCCTTTTCTATGATATGGTGGTAAAAGAATCGCAAGATCTTCAGAAGCAATAAAGTATGAATAGTGTGCTGATGGTTCAACCAATTTGAAGTTTGAAATATAAAAAGTATGTTTTATTGAACATGATAAGTTCAACATAGACAAATGAAAAGTTGTCAAAGAGTAAAATAAATCATATATTTTAACTGAAATTCACTCATCACACAATAAAGGGCAAAATAAATTAGCATTTTTGCAAAAAAAACAATTACTATTATCTGGGATGTATAAACATAAATTTTGATGTGTTGAAACATTTTATATTGGTTTGAATTCATATAAAAATATAAATATTTAGGTTCTTATGCATTTTACTATTGTGTTAATGTTATTATTATGACATTTTATTATCACTCTAGTGTTAGAACTCAAATAGTTCTATCTGTATTTTAACCATTTGATGTTATTTAAATACTGTATCTTATAAATATGAATCCGATTACTGATGTAATGTATTCAAACGATAAATTGTTAGCTGCAAGATGTTCTAAGATGTTATAAAACTCTTTTAAAAACTTCAACCAACATATTTCATGGGATAATGAAACATCTAAATATTCAGAAATTTTTTGAAAGACCTTAAAAAGCTGTATTAAATTAATTCACATTTCTTTTTTGTTTCATATCATGAAATTGTACTTCTCGAAATAATGTAATCATCGGTGCTGTTGGTACTGTCATTTTTGATAAGTTTATCAGTTGAGTTTACTGAAACTATGTTAAACAAATAAATTAAAAAACAATGACTTTTAAAAATTTCAACGAATTTTTATAAGCTCAAATGAAAATATCTTATAGGAAGTGATGACTGGAAATCAATTATGCTTCATAGATCAATTATTGACAGCATTTATGTTAATGGTTCATAAACTCAATCTATTATATAAATGAGCAACATTTTAGCGGCTCCTAGAATCCACTCCAATAGAGGATCGTTAAAGGAAAAACCAAAAATTTCAAGAAGTTGAGAGAAGTTGATCAGAGCGCTCTAATGAGAAAGATGTCGAATCTAGATTTGTTCATTAAGCTACTGTTGAAACAGTAAAATATCATTCTTGAATATATGCACAAGAATTAAGAATATAAAAATTAAGATATTATAATATAAAGACCAAACAAAGAGGTTCTCCTTTGATTTATAGATGCAATCACATGTATGATTTCAATGTTTATGTCCTTGAGATTAATGCTTAAACTTACATTATGTATTGATAAAAAATTCATCATCTAATTATTATTAAATTATGCCTACTAAATTAGCTTTATCACGTATCATATTATAGCCATAGAATATCTTAAATCTAAATTGACTTTATTATCCACTATTGAATAAAATGATTAATGGCAAGACAATAATATTTTATAAAAGCGCATTCTGTATTATTTTAAAGTTTAAAGAAAACGTATTTAATTAAAGATCGATAAATGAAAAATTGAACATTTTATTATATTGTGACGACGGAAGAAAACCTCTTATTATTAGAAAATTTGCAGACTATATTTTAGTAATCAAAGTACAAATGATGTCATTATACTGCTAGTATATAATAAGCATTCATTTATTAATTATTTAATAGGCCAAAATTTTAATCGGGGAGAACACATTCGACAACTTTATTATTTTGCACCTATGTAGTATTCTGATATTATACAAAATTTTACTTAATGCCTTTATATCAAAAATTACTTATGTCTTTAATGATACAATTAGATTAGGATACATTATTAAATATGCCAATTTCGAAAATTAAGGATCGGGTCAAAAATTCACTTCAAATATTTATTTTAACATTCTATATCATGCCAAATAAACTTGTGACAATGCCTTAGCTAAAACAACAAGATCATTCCCACTCAAATTATCAATAAAAATATGTGACAAAGTTGAATAGTAGTAACAAGTCATATTAAAATTCACAATCATTTTTAATAACAACTTTGATATATAGAAAGTGTGGGTTTTGAAAAAGGATCATTGTAATATTATAAATATTGCAGTGTTAAAAATGTCGACTTAAAATTGTTACTCAAGGGATAAAATTTTATAAAACATTCGTATTTTATGGGTATAATTTGGATGAATGCGCCCAAAATATAGAGATGTATTCTTCATAATTTCAGTAGATTAGCATCTCGAGAAAATTCTTAAAAGAATTAAATTGTATCATAAAAGATACGACAACCTACCTTCTCCTTTACAGATAGACTTTGGTAATATTAAGATTGCATCACAATATGGTTGCCTGGCTGACATATTTATTTATTTTATCATCGTTTAAGTGATATTATATCTGGTCAATGTTACATTAGATTTCTAGTGATCAACAATTGTTCATTTCAGAAGCAATTTCTTCATAATTTAAATGTACTATTGAGCGTAGTTATCTGGTTACCAATGCCTTCAGAAGTTGTAGGTAAATTGCCTGAAAGTTCTATGGTTGGCAAGCAATTATCGTTTTAATGTAAGTATTCGTATCTTTCTCTAGAGCACAGCTTATTAAAATATATGAATATTTAACAAAACATACCAAAATGTTATTTCGGTTTCTGGTGTTTGAATGATTTACTACAGAAATAGTCTTGTAAAGTCTATTTACCAATACAGCAAATATTTTTCAAACCATCTTTTCACGAGTTTTTCAGCATCTGAAATTCCAAATATATTTCTAGCCTAGTGATGTTACTCCCCTCAAATAATGACACATCGCATAGTTTTTTTTAGTTTTCTGTGATTTTACCACTATAGTATCGCTTTATTTTAAATAACAGATGACAAATTTATACCCTTTTTGAATTATAAAAAATGAGTGGCATTTTAAGTTTCTCTTTTTAACATTCAACGCCATGCTTATAATCAAATAATACTTTTTCATTTTTGAACTTATCTGGATAATATTAATATTTCAGAGATGCTGTTTGTATAGTTTGTAAAAATGGCCATTGTCAAACAAAATTTTATTTTTTTATCATGGTAATGACTTCGTATATTAAATACTTGTAATTATAAACCCAATATCTGATTGCCTTAAGTTATAAAAATATAATTGAAATTTTTTAGTTCTACTTTGCAAAGGTATTATAAAA